AACTCACATGCCACTGATTTAGGATGACTGGCAGCCACAACAAATGAAAAGATTCTATTTTCCCAGCCACTAAAGTCCCATCACTTAGTATGTCTGGCAGGAAAAAAAAAAGTCTAGTTTGAGCAAAAATGTGATCAAAATTAGTGAAAAGTTTAAATTCTAAATGGCTTTTAGAATCCTCTTATTTTAATTACATGTAGTAACTGAAACTAGTTTACTGTGTACTGTAAAAGTAAAATTTTTCCCACTTTTTTATTTATCTACTAATAAGTTTATTTTCTTGAGTTGCTATGTGCTGAGCATTATATTAGGTTTATCCCTATTGGTTCATTTAAACTTCACAAGAACCCTATGAGGTAGATAGTGTATTATTTACCTGTGTTTTGTAACGAATCATCTTAAAATTTAATGGCTTAAAACAACACCATAATTCATTATCTCTCATGGTTTCTGTGGGTCAGGAATTTGGAGAAGACACAGGGGGCTGGCTTGACTCTGCTATACGTCCAGCACCTCAGCTGGAGGGCTCGAAGGCTGGAACTGAAAAGAAATACCAAATGCCACTCAAATATGTGGCAGCTGATGCTGGCTGTTGATTGAGACCTACCCATGGCATGTCCTTGTTCTTCAGTACCTTGTTGGTGGTTACAAAGTTTATAAATACATAAAAATTAAACTATATGTACACTCAAGATTGTGCACTTCGCTGTTAACGCCTCAGTTTTTTTTAAAAGCGTTTAAGTTAGTCCCGTAGTTCCCATACTGAAGGATTTTATAAAGCAATACAATTACATACCCCTCCCCCTCCAACTGGACGAAGTAATTTTCTACAATGACTATTGTAGATTAATATTATAACTAAGAAAAAACCCAAAGCTTGCTTCTTGGGTTTAAAATCTTGGGTTTAAAACCTGTGAGACTGATTCAAGCTATGCTTTTCAAATCCCACAGAGGGGTGCTAAACGGTGGCCTAAACTCTGAGGAGCTAAACTCCGAGGAGCTGTTTAATTGTCCCTGTCCCCTTTCTGCTTTCGGGCTCTGTCCCTACACACACCAGCCTCTAAGCAAAAGGAGAGAACTAGACCAGTTCTTATCCGAGGCTTTCTATAATATTAATTATAATTATAGAAATTCTGTTCCAAGACAGAATTTTATAAAACCTGTGATATATTTTACATTTACTTTTACATATATGTGATAAACATCTTCCATACATTCTAGGGTATATTTCTGAGATGGCTGGGTATTTTTTGCATCTCTCCCCAAAGTACCATTTCCAGCTGAAGAGGCAGACACGCATCCCTTCGCAACACACACACACACACACACACACGTTTTAGCCAGGTGAGAGGTTGCCAGTATCCTCTAGTTTCTGATGGTATCTGCAGCCTATAGGTTTCCAAACAAAAATGTGATAACCCCCTCCACAAAGACAAGACTGAATCCAAAGCTAAACTATTCAACCAAAATATAAACATTTTTATAGATAAAAAGTTTGTTGGGTTGTGTTTTGTTTTTTTTTTAATGATTTGACCACAAGTGCTGGTTCTATTGTAGCAAAAATCCAGGTGGGTCCTCTGGTCCTCCAATCCCTGGGCTCTGCAAGTCGTTGTCATTTGTTAGAAACTGGATTTTTGACTCTTCCTTGGATTGGAGAAGCAGCCCAGGGAGAGTACAGAGTTAATCCTGCATAAGAAATGGGCTTCTGGAGAGAACCCCAAGGGAAAAAGGCCAGTGCTGGACAAGCGGAGAGGTCTGGGGAGAGGAGGCTTCAAAACTTCCCGGTTTCCTATCGCCTCACAGCTTTGGGTTGGCAGAAAAATGTCTCTGCTGGTCCTTAAAAAAAGAAAAAAAAGAAAAAAGGAAAAAAGCCAAGACTTTCGGGGAGAGGAGCAAGTCACATGGAAACCCCACCTGCCTCAGAGATTTCTGAACATTCGATGTGGTGTTATCTTGATTCCGAGATGAGGACAGAGAGCAGACCAAGTAGAGTAAATGCCTGTGAGGATAACACTTATTTCTTATTGCTATAACTCAAATATTACCCACTGTGAAACAGGCACTGGTCTAAACACACTACACTCATTTAATCGTCTCAACAACCCTTCGAGGTAGGTTTTAGTAACACTTTTTAGAACTGGGGAAAATGAAGCACAAAGTGGCTGGGTGATGTTATGGACCAAATTGTGTGTCCCCAAAACTCATATACTGAAGCCCTAACTCCCAATGAGACCGTATTTGGAGACAGTGTTTGAGGAAGTCATTAAGGTTTGGAGAAAGAGGGCCAGAGGGAAGGCAGCACTGTCCTGATGCGCAGGGCCAGGAGAGAGAGGAGCACTGTTAGAGGAGCATAACCCAGCCAGGACCGCTGCAGCGGGGAGATGAACTGGGCCACTGTCCCCGCTCCCTTTGAATAAGCAATGGCTACTGGGGACTCAACAGCAGTCAGGCTAAACTCATCCAGTGTATTTTTCACCTCAGACATGCAGTATTCATGCCTAAAAGTTCGACGTGGGTCTTTTTATCTTCATGTCTCTTCTGAACTTCTTCATCGTGTGGAGTACAGTTAATAGTAACCGTTTCAATTTGTCTCTTAACTTGAATGTCTGTGTCAGTTCTTGGTAAGTTTAGATTGTTTCATTTTAATTTTCATTGCAAGTCTTATTTTCTGGTTTCTCTGATTAGATGCTGGACATTGTTAATTTGATGTTATTAGGTACCGGGTAATTGTTTGGGGGTTTGTTTTTTTTTTAATAATTATTCTTGATCTTTGTTCTAGAATGTAGTTAAATTACTAGGAAACAGTTTAGTTCTTTCAGGTCTTAACTTTTAAGAATTTAGGCAAGACCCAAACATTGTTTAGTCTAGAGATAATTATTCGCCAGTAGAGGCTGGTGGAAAAATACCAGTCCTGGCCATGCATGAGTGCTGGGTGCTGTTCCCTTTAACTCTTTCAGATGGTTCCTTCCTCACACATGCTGATCAGGACCCACCTCATACTTGAAGAAACCCTCTGCTGACTTCCAGAGGTGTGTGCAGCTCCCTCCTGTCCAGCAATCTGTACTGCGAGCTCTTGCCACTGTGGCTCCCCAGACTTTCAGCTCTATCCAATTAAGGGAACCGCTGGGCTCCATGAGGATCTCCCTCCATATGCCACAGCCTGGAATTTCTCTAAAGGCAATAAGCTGGGAGACCACAGAGCTTTTTTTTTTTTTTTCTGTTAGAGATCACTGGCTTTCCTTGCCTGATTTCCAGTATCTCAAAAACTGTTTTGTTGTGAGTTTTTTGTTTGTTTTTGGTTGTTTTGAGCAGCAAGGTAAATCCATGCCCTGTAACTCCATCTTGGTCAGAAGTAGAGGACTCCTGTTTATTCTTTCGATTAGATTTTATCATTTTCTTCACAAGGTCCTGCACCTTCTCATTAAATGTGTGTCTAAACATCATTTTTATTAATATTGTAACTGGACGATTTCCTCCTATCTCCATTTGTAGGAGCTCATTTCTAGAGTGCAGAAAAACTACAGCTTTTTGTCTACATAACATTTCATTTGTTGACAGATGCCCTGATATTGAACCATGCACTGGTCATAAATTCAGGATGAGTAGGCATCTAGGGCTGGTGCAGCTGCTCGGCAATGCCAACGGGGACCGAAGTCTGCTCCACTCTCCTCAGCACGTTGACGTTCATCCTCATGCTTGTTACTTCATAGCACAAAACAGCTGCTACAGTGCTAGTTCTCATGGATGTGATCTACGCAGGAAAAAAGAAGGGGGAAGGAGGGAGTGGCAAGCCCCATATCAGGAATGCAGGAGATTTCTCAGAATAAATCGTGTCATATTAGCCAGAACTATAATATTTGACCTATAAGTCAGTCTGGAGAAGTAAGTGTCAAGTCAGAAATTTTACCACAAATTCATCAAAAAAAATAGGGGTTTGGTTGGTAATGAAGAAAGGAGAATTGATATTGTACAAACAGCTAACAGGTCTACAAGCCGCTACTCTTGCATTCTTAAAATAAACCCTGCTGACTCAAAGTAAATTATTCTTTTAAAATCACTGCCAGATTCTATCTGAGTTTTTTGAAGTTAAGTTTTTTTTTAAGGCTATTACGATATTCAGGGTCAAAGACTTGAACTAAGGTAGGAGAAATGGGAAAACAAATTTAATATATTTTCAGAAACACTGTGACTAGACCTGATTAACTGCACACAGAAATGCTAGAAGAGGAAATAAAGTGAGAACAAAGTATTACATAAATTTAAAAAGGAAGTAATCACCAGCAGTATTAAATGTTAAATTATCTTTAACATTGAAGCTGAAATATTAAATTTTCTTAAAGTTTCAGATTTCTCTTAATTTAGAACGTCCTAATTATTTAGCAATTTAACCAACACATAGAAAAATTTATACCAAGCTTTCTCTGGACTTTTATTAAAATGAAGCTCTTGCTGTGAGAACAGTATTTTTTTTTAAGTATCTTTTAGATACATACTGACACATAGATGAAATTATATATACACATATAATTATATCTGTGTAATTATTATATGTATATATAATTTCACCAATATGTCAGTATGTATCTAATATATATAGTATTTGCCTCAAAACACATGGGAGTCATGGAGGGGAAAGTGGATAGAAATAGACGAAACAATACTGGCCATGAGATGACGATTACTGAAGATGGGTATTGGTACATGGGGTTCATTGTATTATTCTGTCTTCTTTTGAATGTGTTTGGAATTTCCCATAATAAAAAAAAATTGTTTGTAGAATGGAAGCATGTATGAGTATACATGTATTTTTTAAGTGATAAACAGAGGGTTTATTAAGGATTTTATCCCACAATGTATTTGCTCAATATTCACGAGAGGATGGGTGTTACTTCCTGAGCTTGGTTATAAGCAGCCCCCAGTAGAGCCTGCACCAGGCTTCCAGTAGCCACTGCCACCTCCTCATCACTGTCTCTATCTTCAGAGTCTACAACCCCAAATCATTCCTGAGTCCAGCTCCAGATTTTATTAAATTTATATTATTCAAAGCAACAATGACTGCATTTATATTTGCTGCCACCAATCAAGCTCAAAATGCTTCAAAGATTAAACAATCACATATTTAAAATACATAGAAAAATAATATAATTAGAATTTATACAAAGTAGATTATTATAAAACAAGTACACTACAAGAAATACACCTTATATCCAAGCACAAAAATTTGGAAATATACATAGAAGTATATGTTTCAAAAAAAAAAAACCATTTATTTTTAAATGCTGAGTGGGAAGGCATAGACTGAATCCTGGTTTACCAGTATAATTTTGAAGATAACTTCAAACTGCTGGCAAAAATTTTCACTCCATTCTCAAGCTTTTAAGAACAGTTCCTGAGGATTAGACTGCTGTTCCTCTTTCCAAATTCTGTTTGATTTCAGCTGTGTATTTCCCGTAGAATCTTTCTGCCTTCTTGTTGAATTTGGCATTCCTTTCATTAATGTAGTCGATATCTGCATCGTCATTATAAGGTCGTCTCCGACTATATTTGTCTCGTTTTTCAATTCTGGGACAAGGAAAAATCAATTTACAAAATTCATGTTTTACCTTCTTTTTTAACCTTAATAAAACATGGCCAAATAAGTTGATAGAATCAGTACACTTAGAACAGCACACTTTCAGGGCTGGGGGGGTCATTAAGATCAAGTCTTAATTAACAGCACTACCCTGGATAAGAACCATGAAATTCAGCAAATATACAAACTCATCTTCAGAATGCTTCTAAAAGAGCAATGATAACATTGTTAGAAACTGAGCACATGAAGTATTAAAAGATTACAATAAAATACATTAATAATAGCCACAGCTAATATGGAGTGCACAGTATGTGACAGACACTATTCTTAAAACTTCATGTGTATTAACTCCTAAAATATAAATTATTCCGCTCTGCCTAGAATTCACCCCATCAGTATAAAGAAACACAAATGTAACAGAGGTACATTTACTACAACATTACTTCTTCAAATCAAATAGCAGAGTGACTGTTAAAGTTCTTAAAGAATAATTTTCTTTAGACCCTTTCCTGCTTCAGTTATAATTCAATTTCATCACTATATTCCTTCTCCATTCCAAATCATATGGATTCAACGCTTACTTGTTGTCTGTCCCCAAAACCACTATAAATGCTAAGTCAGAAATTAACAAGTATAATATCCATCTACTCAATTCCAAGCTCATTACATTAATTTTGTCATTAAGCATTTAAAATTTCAGGCTGCTCTGAGTACTTACTGTTTTTCCAGATCTGTGACCATCCTATCAATTTCCTGAGAGGAAGGCACATGTGTTCCATGAAGAAGACTGTTGGACGTTGGGAAAAACTCTTCTCCACTGAAAAGACAGCAAAATGGACTTATAGTAACACTACAAGTCCTCCACATTTCCAGATTTCAAACTAAACAACCATTCACGATGGCAGATAAAATACATACACGTATTTCCTGTGGAATCCTACCTTAACGTTTTGGAAAAAAAAAAAAAAAATGCAAAATTGGACCTAGGAAATCACCTACTCCACACCTTCATCCTACAGATGAAAAAGCCAAAGACCAGAGATCAAAGGACTTGCTTCTAGGTCTCCTTACACTAAAGCAAGGTCAACAAACTCTACCACGCAATTTTGCAAACAGTTTTATTAGAGCACAGCCACAGCAATGTGTGTGTGTGCTCTATGGCTGCTTTCACATCGCAACAGCAAAGCTGAATAGTTGTGACAGAGACCATATAGCCCACAAAGCCTAAAATGCTTACTACCTGGTCCTTTACAGAGAAAGTTCACCCATCCTGGCACTAAGGGCCTTCTGCCTCCTACATTATCTAAGTAACTATGATAATCTGGGTGTTAAAATACTCAACCCCCAGTCTTAGAATGCCCTGCTAGAAAGATAACCAGGCGGCTGGCTTACTTGCTGTGGGGTGAGCAATAAATCATGTTGTGAAGACCAGAAATCATTCTTAGACCATTGGTGATAACCCATACCTAAGCATTACAGTATGTTTGTATTTATGTATGTGTGTACGGATGTATATATACACACACAAATACACCTATGTCACCTCAAGATGAAATAAAAGCTTGTATTAATCCTGTCAACTTACTGCTTTTCTCTCAGTCTCTCATATGTTTCCATGTCAGGTTTGATCTGTTTGGTCAACCGATGATACTGGCGTAACTGGGCAGCCGCATAATCTAAAAATAAAATAAGGATCAGAGATAATATACTTCTTGTTTGGTCATTACTTATCAGAGAAAACTCAAAATTATTAGAAGCAATACAAGCTAGGCCTAGCCTCTATCCTAAAGATGCTGATTAATTTTACCACAAAGAATAAAAAAACCCAGCTGACTAAAATACAGCCTTTCCTTCTGCCCTGTAAGACATATTTGTATTTTTCTTGGGTTTAGGTCTCTTAGAGAATACTCCATCAAGGGTGGGTATATGCTTTCACAAACCGAAAACACTGAAAGTAATGTTTATCTAACAGGCCCATTCAATAAAGTAAAAGCTAATTTTACCTGAAAATCCAAGATCGGGGTTTTTCCTCTTCTTTTTCCTCTCCCATCTTTCTGCATCTTCTGCACTGATCTCCAGCAACTTCACTTTCTCATAGTCTTCCCCTCTTGCTGCACATTCCTAAAAAGAAAGGAAAAAAGCTGAAACCTGCAAATATGATAGAAGCAATTATTTGATCTTTTATAAATGAAAAAAGATTGAACAGAGATATCACGTGATAGTTTTAAAATAATGATTAACATTCAAAGAAAGATCAGGAAACTGCTATGGTATATAGTAAGCACATTGATTTTAAAAATAATACTTATTCAATGTTTCTTAGGTATCAGACTGTTTTAAATGTTTTACATGCATTGACTCATTTAATTCATAATTAATCAACTCAAATAATTATTATAGTCCCCATTTTACAGATGAGAAAACGGAGGAAAAGGAGGTTAAATGACTCACCCAAAGTGTTACAACTAGTAAAGAGCAGAACCAGGATCTAAATTCTGGCAGCCTGGCTCCACAGCCCGTGTACAAAACCACCATGTTCTACTGTCTCAAAACAGAAAGACAGAGTAACCCACTTTTGAAGACAGCAAAAGAGTCCCTAACCTTTTTCTTTTCTTCCTCCTGTAGTTCCCATTCCAAACGAGCTTTTTTGGCTTCCCAATTTGCAGGTAACTTAAGTCTTTTATCTTCTTCCACAACTTCCTGGTGATTTAATTTACGAGCTTCATTCTAAAACCAAAACACAAAATGTTTGCTAGCTGAAACATGAAAATGGATCCAAAATAATCTGGCCTTCTTCCAAGGTCAGGTAAGGGGACCCCATTTTATCCTAAAAGCAACACAAGGCCATCAAAGGATTTTAAGCAAGGGAACCACCTAATCAGGTTTGCATTTGTACACAGTCAAGAAAAATGTATTGAGCTGCACCGGTTTGCTGCTCAAGGCCTGGGGGTTAACATCAGCTTTGCCTTTGATTAGCTGTGTGGTCCCTTTGAGCTAGTCCTTTAGGGTTGGATGGTCAAGATTTCACAAAGTGAAGAAAGAACTACTACAGTGGCACTTAATATTTTAGATGGCATGAAATAATACTAAATCACACAATAAGAAAGATGTTCTACTTTCAATTCTCTTTTAATCCTAATCCAAGGAGAAAGCTTCAGTTTGTCTAAGGCTTTAATATCTACCTTAGTATCTCTAATCTTTTCCAAGTCCACCCTTTAACATATTTCAACAGTTTACATTTTAGCAAAAGAATGAAATTGTCCATTTGAATTACTCTATATAGAGTCTGTTTTAAAATAAATTTACCTGCATAAAACAAAATTAATATATCATCTTAAGGACAACTTAATTGAGATGTTTCTTAGTCACAGGCTGGAGGCAGTTAGTCCAGAAAGTCATGTCTCCTAATTTCCAACCACATGTTCTTTACACTGTCCATCCAAGTAAATATTTAAGTGTTCGTTTAATTCCTTATAAGGTTAACTCTGGGGTGGGCAAAGAGAGGTACTCCTCTAAATTACCATCCCCCATACATTCTGAGCTCTGGCAATGCCAGTTAAAGACACCAAGAATATAACTATAGTCAAGTTTTGTTTCTTGCACTGAAGAAGACAGCAAACCATGGAGAACTGTAGGTATTTCAGTGAGAGGGTGTTAGGAGGGGCTAGTTACAGGATTTGGGTTTGTATCAGGTGACTGGAAGGGAAAGCTTCAAGGAAACATGTTTGTGCTCTGTTTTGGCAATGTCAGAAAGCCAGAGCCTCCTATGATTGTGTAGCTTACGTTTTCATATAGGAGGCAGGATTAATGGACTAAGACTAATGCTGCATCTGGTAATAATAGTAACCAGTATTAGCAGAAGAAGGGAACGTGTGGTCATTTCTGTGGTTTAAGTAATCTTGCTGTTGTCTCACTCCAACAGAGTTGGGGTTTTGTGGAACCACGGCCAATCTGTCAGGTCACTTCAAGTTGAAATAGTAAAGGGCTGCTTTTTTCTTTCTCAGTTCCAACTGCAGCCAGTTGTTTGCTAGACTCTTATCTCTCGTATTTGTTCTCCCCCTTTGCATTTGTTTCCTCTGCTTGGCTATTTTTCCCCCAACTTCTTTGTCTGATAACGACTTGCTCATCTTTCAAACAGTAAGTCAGCTGTCACCTCTTAGAAAAAGCACTTCCTGGAGCCCCAGGAACTGTATTAATCTCTCCTCTTCTGCACTCCCAAGGCACTTTGTTCTTAACTCTAGCAAGGCATTTACCACAATATAACTTCTAGCTATAAAGTTGTCTCTATTTAAAAGCAGAGGTTCTTCCTTAATCATCTGGTTCCCCACCAACTAACTGAACCACTGACACTATAAACTTTCAGAGATTTGCTGAATTGATTATTTTTGAAGAGGTAACCATCTCTCTTTTTAACACTGGACAAGTTTCTTCCAGTCTCTAGCCCTACATATTTCCCTAGGTAAAATGAAGAGTTTGTGAGACTTATACAGTAGGGAGACTGTTAGTAACAGAGAATCCCAAACCTAGCCAAGATAAGTTAAATCAGATGTGGGCGGGAGGGTGGTTGGAGCGAGCATGTGTTATTTCCACAGTGATTCCAGTGTGCTGCCAGGGTTGAGAATCACCAGGTTAGATCTTTCACCCATCTCTGCAGGTCTCTCAGGCGCGCTGGTGAGGCTTCCCCGTCCCTCTACAAACGCGCACAGGCCTCGCCAAGTGACAGGTCTCAAGTGATCTCCGGAAGTACTCACCCGCTTCAGGTGCAGCTCCCGGAATTTGCGCAGTCTCTGCTCGCGCTTCTGGGAGGTCAGCTCCGCCGCCGCCGCGAGGGACCGCTCCTCCTCCGCATTTTCCACCAGCACCTGCGGCAAGAAGGACTGGCTGGAGGCAGTGTCCAGGACTTCAGGGACTATCCAGGCCGATTCCTGACCGGTCCCGATGGGCCGGGCCGGGCCTCCATTGCCGACCCCGACCGCACAGTGTCTGCGCCTCCCTGACCCGGCACCCAGGCATCTTCTCCACCTCTTGCCCCGGCTGTCCCCCGAAGGCTGCCCTCCGAAAGCCTCCCCTACAAAAGCCCCTGGGTAGAGCCGGTGGCACTTACCTTTTCAGCTAGAGTCGCAGCCGCCATCACAACCTTTCCCTCCGCACTTCCGGCAACATCACAGAGCGCTTCCGTCGGCCTTCCTTCCGCGCAGCCGATAGATAGTAATAATCTACTATAATCCCCGCCCCTTCCTGGCAGCGTCAGGGGCTTGGGACCAATCGCTGCTCCTTTTAGCAGTGAGCTGTTTTCGATTGGGCAGGACTGTGCGCAGCCGCAGAAGGACGCAGAGGCAAGAATCGGGAGGAGGGCGGCGGAACTGGGAGAGAAGGGCAGGGAAGCACCTGGCGGGGGGGTGGCTAAGGAAAAATGGCCTAACCGGAGCCTGGGAGACAGTCGCTTCAACTGCGTGCCGCTCCCTTGAGCTGGAAGTGCGGTCCATTTATTCCTTATCCTCAGTTTTACCTACTCCGAGGTAGTTCTCCTCGGACTGCCTTGTCTGACGTAGGCCATTAGTACTGTCATACGGCACCATTTTAATTTTCTCAATAGTGTAAGATATTTGTTCTTTTTCCATTTACCCCATCAACATTTTAAACTGCAGGAGAGCAGACACGTCTCATCTTGTTTACTCTTCCGTAAACAAGGAAACTGCCAGAATGAATAATAGTACTGAAGTTAAGATAATTCAGTAAGGTGCTGGATACAAGAGGAATATATGAAAATTACTTTTTTTTCTGCACTAACAACCACTAATTAGATGTAGAAATGAAAAAGTAATCCCCAAATAAAAAGATACCTAAGTGTAAAATTTAAATGGCACCATGAAGAAAAATACAAGATAATTTGAGGTGCAAAAAATTAAATTGGAAAAATGAAGTTTTTTCTGGTTGGAAGGCAATATAAAAATAATATCACAAGAGTATCTCAAATGAGTATAAATGTAATGTTATTCCTATCAGAATCTCAATGGGTTATTCTGTTTAGGGAACTGGAAAAAATAGCAAAAATCTAAAAGTTCAACACACTATATTGGTGAAACTGAAGAAATATAAATTCATAAAATCCAGTGCAACCTTTAGGGAGGACAATTTGGCAATATCTTTAAAAATTACAAAGGCATTTACTCTTTGACCCAGTTATCACACTTCTGAGAATTTATCCTACAGGTACAATTGTGCGCAGGTATAAAAACGACTTCTGTACAAGATCGTTCATTTCATACATTTTTTGTAAAAGCAAAAAATTGGATACAACTCAAACGTCTGTCAATAGAAGACTGATTAAGTTACGGTACATTCATTGGAACTTCATGAAGCTGTAAAGGATGGGGCATGTGTCTATATACTAATTTTGAAAGATCTCCAAAACATACTAAGTATAAAATGCAAGGTGTAGAACTGTGGTTATAACATGCTATATTTACAGGAGTAGAGGGTAGGGTTAGGATTACTAAGTATATTTTTGTTTTGCATAGAGATCTGAGGAGGAATAGGCAAGAAGCTAATATAAGTGGTATTCTGGAGGGGATGTTTATTATATATAATATTTTGAACCATATAAATATTTACAATTCCAAAATTAAAAATTAATTTTAAAAGTTTGTGTAGAAGTCTACAACCTTTAAGAAAAGTTAGTCAACAATATTTATTAAAATTATATGAACCCTTTATCTCACAGGTCCACTTTTAAGAATCTATCATACAGTTTCTCTGTTACTTTCAGGATACAGTGTGGTCCTCTTGCATGACCCTCAAAGAAGACAAGATTTGTTTGGATTTATTTTCATGTTTCAGCTGACAAACATTTGTGTTGTAGTTTTATAATGAAGCTTGTAAATTAAATCACCACGAAGTTGTAGAGGACAATAAAAGACAAATTACCTGCAAACTGGGAATCTAAAAAAGTTTGGAATGAGAATTGCAGGATTAAAAAAAATAAGTACAATTCAGCCATCTTCATAAGCTGTGGATTCAAATATTATTCTGTGTTTTGTTGAGGCAGTAGGTAGAATGGTAGTTGACCATTCTGGCTCTGGTTTCCTCATCTGTACCTGAGAGCTGTGAGAATATAATATGTAAAACATTTAGAACAGTGCCTGGCACACAAGCAATAGATAAAAGGCTGAGTAAGCTACAGTAATAACAGTTCCAATGATAAGAAATAAAGCTTATTAGTTTCTCATGTATCAGTCCCTAGGTGAGCAACGCAAGTAACAGGGGCAGCTCTGCTCCATTGTTTCTCTGCCATTCCCTAGTGCATTGTTGGTGTCTCTGAGTGGGCAAAGCTAGGTGGTTCCAAGTTCCAAACAGCAGGAAGGGGAATGGTGTGGAGAAGGCACAGCCATGGTTTTGAGGTCTGGCTTTTGAAGCAGCCCTCAGCACTTCTATATTTTGTTGAGAACCTAAGTCATCTAGCCTGATCTAGCTGCAAGAGAGGTTGGGAAATGGGCAGCCATGAGCCCAGAAAAGAGGGGAGAAAGGATTTTGATGGATACCTAATGTGTCCACTACAACTATTTTTGGTGTTAAGTGTTATAGAATATTACTTCTTACAGATCATAGCAGGTTCCACAATTTGAACTTAGTCAACTTGTAGTCTTAATGGATGTCTCTAGGTCTTTAATTTAAAAGGGATCAAGGAATTTTATCAGGTGATAGAGCTGACTTTTTTCCCTTTTAAGGAATGTGCAGCAAGAGAGACTACGAGAAAGTGAAGTTGCTAGAGATCAGTGAAGATTCGAAAATATGGGAGAGGAAAAGGAAGAGGAAAAACCCCAATCTGACATTTTCAGGTAAAATTGGCTTTTACTTTATTGAATGAGGCTGTTAATGACCCACTTAATAACAGGTTTAATAATGCCCCAACATCTAAAATAATCTGTGGTTCTTTTATTTTTAGATTATGCTTCTGCCCATTGATGCCACTATCATTGGTTGACCAAGCAGATCAAACCTGACATGGAAACATATGAAACACTGAGCATAACCAATAAGTTGATGTAATTTAATAGTATACTCTGTATGTTACTGGGAGGACTTAAATTTAGCAGTGCTGATTCTGGAGCTTTGCTTCGTGGCCTTGGATCCTGGCTCAATCACTTACTATGTCACACAGTTTTTCTCACTCAGTTTCCTAATCTGTATACAGAAAATAATAATAGTGCTTACCTCATAGGATATTGTAAAGATTAAATGAATTCATATACTGCACTTAATGCTTGGCATTGTTAGCTATTATCATCATCATCATGATTATGACTTTTACTATTGTGCCCCTTACTTGTGGAGGATATCTACTTTCATCATGTACAATAAGCAATGCTAAAC